CTCTCTCTCTCTAGCTTTATTAAACTCTTGAAATTACATTCCGCAGCGCGTGAGCTTGATAACGACGTCTCGTTTTTCGAGCCAACGAAACAGCCCCTCATCGAGCGTGGGAGTGCGATTTGCCGGTCGATAACTAATTAGTCGTGCCACGCGAGATTTTTAAGCTGTCGCAACTGGCGCGGAAGGTTTCTCATTAGAATGATAGTTATGTTCTCTCCAACGTTTCAAATGATATTTAAATCCTACTCCCGAGATCTCCTCTCTCCGCAGTGCAGATACTCGAGGCGCTTACGTCCTGAACTTACCTATTATCCCCTGGAAGTGACCCGTTAGCCGCTTACCAGCAAGTTATCCGCTTCCTGAGCTAATTTAGGCATGCGTTCTTAGCTTCTCGTTTCGTTTGTCGCTAAGAACACTTTCCTGTTCATACTGACCTGCTGGAACAAAAAACAATTCTACATTGAGTGTCCATGAGATTATTAATGTATGTATTCAGATAGAAAGTTTGCTCTGAACTTATCAGAATTAATCTTGATTGATAGCGACAGGTATTCGTAGCAATGCAAGATTTATTTTATGTATTTAAAATTTTATTCGTTTTTTCTATATGTTGTATTGCATTTTTTCTGTATGTCCATGAAATTGTTTTTAGATAGCAAAGATCATTTACGCATTGCTCTATGCCAGTCTATGCTATCGGAATTAATCTTAATTAATAACAAATAATTAATTACAGATTTAATTTTTTATTTATGCATTATATATATTCATATCTCAAATTACTTATATCACAATTTTCTTCATGGAATTTTTTATGAATATCTCTTATAATTTTGTATGTAGAACTGTTAAATATTATAGCTTTTCTACACTATAATGTCTCATATCTTATAACATTTTAAATTAAATAAATAATAATTAGAGAAATCCACTATTTTTTTTTTTTTTTGATGAGCCTGGAACGTTATTCTTTCACGCGACCTAAAACCTCTCTCCTGTCGGTAATGTACGGTAGGGACAAAAACTAAGTATGCCGTTCTTCAATAATTGCGAACGCGAAACCTCAATCCGCCGGCGAAAAATTTAATCCGGAAATTTCGGTTCTACCTGGTATTTAGGTCGGGCTGCACTTTTACCGCACGCCCAATATTTTTGAACGCGCGTGACATGCGTACGATGGCGCGTGCACGTGAATCTCTCGCCACTGAAAACCCCGTATTTCAAACCACAGTAAAGCTTTGCGGTCTACCCGGCTAAAATTTTTACTTTCGGTGAGCCAGCTGTCAATCATAAGATTTAATCGCTTCAAAAAGCGAACATGGCGTCCTATATATGAAACATTAATAAATGCCGCTCTTCATATCTGTGACAAGAATTAAGATTCAATGAATTTTTGTATACATTATTATATAAATTATAATGTATAAATATTATATATATATATATATATATGTAATATTTAAACTTTTAAACTGTTATAAAATATGAGACATTATAGTGTAGGAAAGCTATAATATGTAACAGTTCTACATACAAAATTATAAGAGATATCCATAAAAAATTCCATGAAAAAAATTGTGATATAAGTAATTTGAGATATGAATATATACCTATAAGATATACAAAATATTTACCACATGTTTTTCATACTTTGCAAGTATGTTAAATTCAATTTAACTTCTTTCTCCGCTTGAATATAATTTATAAAATACATTTTCCATTTAATTATACTTTCTTAGATATTTACTCTAGAAAATCTCGCGAAACATGTTTTCCCAGTTTAAACATCACGTCTGTCCGACAAGAGCAGAAATAAAATAAAACGCCGATTCTCTCCTATCAATCAGTTTGATGTTACCGCACATAGATCATCGAGGTCATAAATCTTCAACTCGCGAACATCCGCGCTCCTCGATGAGTTCGTCCAAAGTATCAGCACACATGCGGTGCATTCGCATTTTGCGAAGAAGCATGCAGTTACGGATTCCTGCATATTTAAAGTCGCCTTTATCGCTCAGATACAAATTAGGTGGTGGTCGCCTCGGCACATTCGAAAACTACAACTACAACCTATAAATTCGGAGCGTCTCGAACCATGGAGAGTCGCTTCGTTTTATCTCACCCCCTTCTCCCTATCTCATCCCAACTCTAGTTCGCGGGGTGAGCTGAGGGCTTTCCGGGGATTAACCTTACCCGCGACTCCGTGCCAGTAATTTCCAATTCGACTGCCTGACCTGATCTCCGTGTTAATTAAACCCCTCCTCGCTAGTTATATTGCTATCGATAGCTCTCGCGGAAGAAGTTATACAAAGCTGAAAAGTTTTTAATCGAATATAGTTGATTTCAAACGGCTTGAATTGGTCGCACCGACCGATTACGATATTTCGCGCAGTAATGCTGTTTATTGGTATCAGCGTAAAATATTTACAATAAAAATAAATCCTTTGCAACGGATATAATTACACAGCAAATTCAAATGTATAAAAAAGTGAATTCAATGATTAGTGATTGGTTTTCCGTATAAAAATAACACACTGGTACTGTTGTATACAAATATGGATTTACACATTTAAACGTGTAGTATATTGTTGTTTTTACACAGAAAACTAAATAACACATATATATTGAAGTCACTTTTTAGTCTTTTTACACACTTGGACTTTAGAGTGTAAGTAGCGTAAAAACCTAACTTGGAAATAACTAACTTGGAAAAACTTCGTTAAAAATGTCGAAGTATGACAGAATTTGAAGAAGTTAAACTGTTTAGTTTGCCCTATATTACTGAAAATCTTAATGACCTTTAACCTTTTACGGTCAACTGATTTGACTTATACTTTACTGTGAAGTAATAATAAGTAGGTATCTGTTGTCGCTAAAAAAAATTTGAAAAAGTTAAGCCGAGAAATTTTGCAGATGGACGGCCAACACTGTGAAATTATAAAATAGTTTACTACGCGCGCCGCACTACTTAATAAAAGTAAGCAAGATCCATTATAATTGCAAGATTTTATTGTTCGTGTAAATAGAGGGTGAATATTTAATTAAGTATAAGAATATTTAATTCTCTAGCATGGTACCGATGTAAATTCGATGAGTAGACTGATTCGCACATACGAAATCGAGAGATTTCCAGACGGATTATAATTAATTTGAGATTATTCAAGTTAGTCGGATTGACACTGTTGTTTCCTATTCCCTTTCCGTCTTACTACTAGACTGCAAATGAAAAGAGAATGCTTAATTAACCCTGCTTACCGTACTGGATGTTAATGCGATTGCTTACGGCTCTACTAAGAATATAAAGGTAGTCATGTTTAAAACTAGAAAGATGTATAATCAGCGTAGTGCGTGTATCAGAGGAATCTAAATTATGGTCTTAATTATGTGGAAGAAATAAAAATATTTAAAAAAAAAACAAAATATAATTTATTAAAGTCAAGAAGTTAATTATTCAATAATTTAAAGTGAATATTTCGTATGATATAAAAGCTTCAATATTTCAAGATAATCATTGTTTCGCATTTCCCAGATATGAAATAACTATTTTTCCAACATAGCGCATATTAAAATGTATATTACCGTTGATGTTCTCTGTTCCGTTGAGTTCACATTACTTGCTCTATAATTAAGCGTCGTGTTGCAAATAAATTTCTAATGTTACCACAGTGCATGTTACAGTAACCATAGCAATCCCCATCTCGAAGTAGCCATAATATGTGGTCACGTAAAACCATTCAATTACTTCTAACCAATTTTCCACGGCTTTTGATATAGCTTTATGCTTGGTGATCATATTAAGATGTACAGCAAGTTGCGTCCGGTGTACTTTTATGAGATAAAAACAGTCATTTCCTTCTCTTCTCTTCATTACTTCTCTACATTCCTTCTATTTGCCTCCTTTTTGCTGCTCTTTTCTTCTGTTGTTGTTTGTCGCTTGGCTTTTGTACTAATTCTTTCACATATTTTATGCAATACACTTGCATAAAAGGCAAATGCTTTTTTTTTTCTGTTGTAAAGCGTTACTAGAAAAAATTTCTAATAATTTCTACAATTTAATTTTACGCGATTAATTTTTGCACGAGTTTGAGATAGACGGCTTTGTCCGTTGCTGACCGTTCGCTTTATTACTCCTCGTTTTTACCCCTTTTTTGCTCGAGATTCGTAGTCAAGCGAACGAATTTCCATTCTTTCATCGCGTTACATTCCATTCCGCTTTTATCCACGAATTTCGCCTCGCTGCTTTTTTTTATCGTATCTTTGCCCGTCACGTTACTTATCCTTCGCCTCGCATTCGCATTCCGCATTTAGCGCTAAATATGACCAGCCGGCACGACTTTATTCGTGTAATACAAAAATCGTGTTCAAGTATTATAAAAGTCAAACAGCCGCGTGTAAACGTTAAATGCCTCGCGCACGTTTCCACCTCTGTATTCTTTATTTTCTTATACTTTCTCTCTCTCTCTCTTTTGTAATCTCCCACGTTTTCTCCGACGTTTGGTGTTCCGCATTTCAGTTTCTTCGACATCATTCTCTCTTTGATATTCTCGTCATTTTCGAATTTTCTCTGCGAATTTTTGCTGTCATCTTCTTCTCGGTCGACGCATCTTCAATTTTTCATTTCTCGATCGAGCACTTTTTCGTTTCCTGATATTTGCGTTTATTCTCACTCCCTCCCTCTCCCTCTTTTATTTTCTCTTGTCGATTCGTCTCTTCATTCGATTCCATAGTCCGATAATCCATACTTTCGTGTCGTTGCACGCGGATCTATTTCTCGCTTTGTCCGCTTTTCCATCTGCTTACTAGTAAAATCACTACAAAGAAGCGGATAGAAAATTGATATTATCCGTTGACCAATTCTCATTTCTTTTTTTATGATGTATCGAGTCGCATAGTGTGACAAACTAAACAAAAATTGCTTCCGATGAAAACGTTATACTAATGCAATGAAAATGAATAATAATTCATTTTTGCATTACATTTTCTTATTCATTTAATGTAGAAAAATTATTTTATTTCATAATGTTTCTTTGATATTTTAAGCTTAATATTCCGAATACCTAATTAAGTATCATGAACAAGAACTGTGTAAATATTATTTTAGCTTTAATAGTAAGAAAGCACGTCACGACGTTTGCTACGTTTATGTTCCCTTCGGCATTTCAATGAGATTCTCTTCTAACCGCCGCTAATGTAATATTCCGAAATGTCTCAGACGAAAGGCCAAACGTTCAAGATATATTTTACGATACACGAAAGTGCATTCCGCTGCAAATAAAAGCAGCTGATACTGCAACGATATTGCTTTTCTTCCCGCAGTATTATTATGCCACATTCTACCTGGCAATTTGCAATACAACAGTTGAAATATTGAATTGTGTTTTAATGCAAAAATAAGAATTGCGAAGTATAATGATATTTATTGTATAGCAAACAT